AGTCCGTAGAATGATTGAGTAGGATATCTAAATGCTAAATTTTTAAGGCCTTGTTTTCAAAAAGGCAGTTTAAAGGACGCTGACGAAAACTATGTTTAAAACTACTTATAACAAGATTTAAATAGTCACAGTACAATTTGGTATTTTAATAAGTTTTAAATAAAAAATACTCTTCTCATGTAGAGCTCACACCAACTCAATTCTTTTATCTTTTATTTTATTAATACCTTAAAAAATTATCCTCAGATTCCAAACCTCTTCTATATTGTTTCAGCCCATCTCAGTACTGTTTGACCACCTCCAATCTTCTCTACCCCTCAATCCTACTACCCAACTTGATTTGTACTTTGCAAAATGTTTTAATCTAGAAATTCCCAAAGCAGGATTAGTGGGGTCAAGGGGTTTGTAATCTTGTAATTAAAAAAAAAAACAAACAAACTTACTTTGCAGTTTGTTTTACTTTGTCAGAGATAGTCTGGCTCCTGATAAGTAGTATCATGACTGATTAGTGGTCCATGCTTTGAAACTGAACAGAAACATGAAGGGCATCGACAGTCTCGGAGACGAAGCACTGTAAAATCAGGCTCAAAAGGAAAGTCTAACTGGGGATTATACCATCTGGAGCTGAGATTACTGAAGCATGTCCCAATAATTATCTTTTGAGTATTTATCACAAAGAGACTCCAACCAAATGTTTCTTACGTCTGTAAGTGATATACGGGGAAATGTGTTCTTCAATTGCAGATAGAAACCTTGGTTTTGTAAAGGAAGAATATCTTGTCTGTACGCTGGATATTTATGATTTTAAAAACTATAAAATTGTTGTTCCCAGGAATTACAAAATTTAGAATATGCATCTGTCTAAACCTGAAAAATGAAGGCCCGCTGCTACCCAGATATTTAGTCACAGACATATCTGAAGCCAACAGGCTGCTTTTATTGACTCTACTAGTTTTGAACAAAGCATGCTACAAAAAATTATGTCCCTTAAACTCGTAAGGAATTATAGGAGAACTGAACAAACCCATGGTGAATACTAGGTAATTACTTATTCAATCCAAATTGTTTCAAAAGCATTTGAACAATAATTGCTCCTATACATTTCTAAGTATTTGAATTGTGCTGACCAACCTATAGCTATCCAGATGTGCTCACTTGTTTCCTTTCTCTGTATATTTAATGCACAGTTAGACGGTGGATTCTTATTATAAATAAAATCATTAACAAAAACAACTTCAAATGTAAAACATAAGAACAGTTTAAAGAAATGAAGTAATTAAAGATGAAATTCCTACTTTCCTCACATTTGAAAAAAAATGCACAAATGCAGAAATACTGTGCATATTTGTCTTTCCAATTCTGTCATTGGCATGAAATCCAATGTCTTTGCTTCTAAGTCACTGGTGATGCAAAACAGCAGTAGGTCAGCAGCCCAAGAGCAGTTTGAAGCCAGAAACAAAAGAGCAGGGAGAGTTCCCAGGGGTGTCTGCCAAGGGCAAGCAAAGCAGAAAGACCTTTAAGGAGAAGTAGCCGCAAGAAGGAGCTGCAGCAGCGTGAAGAGCCAGGCCAGCAGAAAAGCCGGTGACAGCCAGGAAGTCACCTGCAAGCCCAGCACAAAGCAGCCCTTCATCAGAAGACACCCACCCAGAAGAGCAGAGATCCAGCCTGGAGTGGATGCTTCATGCTCCGATGAAGAGTCTTGGCACATGTGACCTGTGAAACAGAAATACTAAGCTGAAACAAAGTTGTATTGAACATCTACTGAAGTTCCTCACTGTAGTTCTGAGAGTTAGACAACTAAAACCAACACATGCCCCAGACCCATGTCTGTCCCCCACCCCTTCCTACTCTCTCCCTCTGGTGAAATTTAAAAACCATAGTCTCTTATTTAACAAATATTTCTGAAGCTTCCCCTGCACGCCAGGGACCACACTATAAACAAAAAAGTAGAACAGTGAACTAGGCATTGTCTCTTACTTTCTAGGAGGTTATAGCTTAATGGAAGTTTTGGGTTTTTTTTTATCCTAAATTTGTAATTTTTGAGATGAAGAAACCCTAATTTTAACAGAGATTTCATTCCCTGCACTCTCTGAAGGAAGTGAAGTCTCAGGGCTTCACATTGATTTGGAAAACTCATCTGAAACCTGAGGGTGTCCCTCAACTAGGAGCTGTTAAGCCTTGGAGAACTTGTAAAAAGATCTCAGAAGTGTGTAAAACCCAGCTTATCACCTTTGTGTTTTAACCACCACTCCTTCTTAACTGCCACTCCTTCTTAGTTAAGTTTGTGAAATGCTAATATTCTTTCCTATCTCATATGGAACTGATAGAAATGTTGGCAATAAGCAACCGAAATCTCCTGTCCTTACTTTACTCTTTGGCGATGTTAAGAGGATAGTAGGCTAACTCCTTTAGACTATTATGATTTCATTTCTGTCTCACTGAATGTTGGCTAATCAGTTTAAATTCCTGAATCAAAAGAAATACAGAATTGGTCAGAGTGGGTATGGTCAATCCAGATATAATCTAACTAAAGACTTTTGAGTGCATTTTTCATGATTTGGAGTAGATCTAACAAAATAATCAAAAATAGAAACACACAGAAAGAAGTCATGTCCCTGTAAGCCTTCACTAGGTAACGAATAGGAAGAACAGATGGATTATATGTGTCCTGCTTCTAAACCAGTTAACCTGTTATGTTGTAGTATGTTATTGTTGTACTTGTGAGCAACTTGAGAGCAGGAGCCAAATGTTTTATCCCTGCATCTCAGTACCTGGCCATGCACATAGTGGGCGATCAGCAATATTGGCTTGAATAATTGAGAATCCAGAGTCTCTCTTAAATTTCTATCACAGACTGGCGTCCAAAAGGGAGGCTGTGTTTTAGCATGCGGTGTTTGGGACAGGGACTTGTTTTCACTCTGAGGTCAGAAACCTCCACAGCTGAGTACTTTGGATAATGAAGGTCCCTTTTCTATATTTGCCAGGGTGGGTTGGACACAGGCAAATGTCATACAATCTGCATTTAAACATTCTTTCCTTTCCATTTTAACAGTGTTTATATTTCCTAGGGCACATCCAAAAGATTCACAATATTTACTGTATATTTCTATGCTTTTAAGAAAAAAAAAAAAAAAACCATGCAATTTTCACATGCAAGTTATTTTCAGCAGGCAGTTCCTTTCCTGAAGCACAAAAGGCTAGATACAAAAACAAACAAGAGAGAGAATGTGCTGGTTTAACAAATGGGTCCTCAGAGATGGATTTTAAAGCATGGGTTTTGTTTCCTGATCTAGCTTTTACCCTATCACTTCACAACGCTTAGAGAAACCCTGAAATAAATCAGTGACATTTACACAATTTTTAAGGCTGACAGTTTTATTTTTTTCCTGTTTTGTCTATTGCTGTGGCCAATGTAATTAGATCATACTCATGTGAAAAGTTGGTGATACAAGAAAAATTTTGGATGAGATTTATTTCTGCTAGTGTTCACAGTATCATCTGCACATGAAACTAATTCACTTAACCCTACACAATTTAGAATTTTATGTTGTTTCCAAAAAACAAAAAGCTCTAATTCAAAAGGAAATAAATCTTTCTGTTTATTTTTATATTAGGACTAGACCAATTACATTTAAAAACATTTTTAGCAGGTAAACTACTGATTTTAAAACACATTTTTAAATTATACAGACTAGATGCCAACCTGAGAAGGGATCATTCCAGAAGAAAGAGGAGAAAGACCTAAATTATAACAGTATTCCAGAAATGGCAGCAGAGATCAAATGCTAGCATCCATACCTTGCACACTGCCTTCTAATTTCATTTTGTATAAAAGTTGTTTGTAATTCTTAGACTTTTTACAATTATATTAGCAAATATAAGTTTCAGGCCCACAAATATATTATTGCTTCTGTTCTCCTAGAAATGTTACAAACTGGGGGAGAATGTAAATTTCACAAAATGAAGATACTTAGTCATGTTTTCTGAAAATTCTTGATGTTAACTCCTTTTCTTCTTTAACAAGCTAAGTGTTCTTTATTTTTGTGAATTAATTTAAGAATTTTTGTAACTATTTAATTGAGATTCTTATTTGCTTCCAAAACTTAAACACCAGGATAAACAGATACAAAAGGCACAATTTAACATGTTTTATTGGCTGAGTAGAAAGGTCAAAATTACCAAGCTTTATAGAAGCACCAGTAGAAGTATACAGTAGATCCCTTGTAGAAATCATAAATGAGAGCCAGTGTAGGCAATGTCCCAAACACAAACACGGATTTTGAGTTGCTATCTATGACGGAAGCAGAGCAATTGTCAAGAGTTTGACTAGGTTGCAAAAGAATTTAAAGAGCCAGCAGCACTTTTAAGAATACACAAGATAGCTTTATTGTCCTTATGTAACATTTACTGAGAAGCAAGACATGCCAAATATTAAGCAATCCACAGAATTCCTCTGAGGCCCTACCCAGTGGATTCTATTTCCAAAAGAGATAATAAGTAGGTGAGATACATAAATGAAATCAAGAGGCTTGGTTAATGCTGCCCTTCCAGAAATTTACACCATGCATGGAGCATTAGTACCCCACTTCAACCATTTTGCTAAGAAAAAAATGAGAATAAATGAGATAGTAATTTGGAAAGGAAGAGGTTTGCTTTCTAAAACAAAATATACACAGCTAATCAGATATACTTCTGCCATTCTGTATCCATGTTTTAGTAAGCCTAGATTTCAGAGTTACTTGAGTTTCAACCAAGAAAAAAAACAAACGATTTACTAGTGAGAGAGGTCAGTTTTCCTAAATGACATTGACCAAGAAATTTTATACGACGCTTGAAATTTGCCTTGGTCTCCTGCTAGACTGTTAACATGTTCTGTAATTCTCAGCTGTTGGTAAAATTTGGAGAACACTTGTAGAAAATCAGCTATGGTTACAGCCATGTTTATCTTCAACTACTGGTAGCAGGGCTTCGTTTGACATGCTGGTGTTCTTCTTTTGCAGGGACTTTACGTTTTTGTGGTTTATTTCATTGTACACAACCAGATGTGTTGCCCTATGAAAGCCAGCTACACAGTGGAAATGAATGGGCATCCGGGGCCAAGCACAGCCTTTTTCACGCCCGGGAGCGGAATGCCTCCTGCAGGAGGGGAAATCAGCAAGTCCACCCAGAATCTTATCAGTGCTATGGAGGAGGTATCTGCCCTTGCCCTGTCTCTCTCTGTCTCTGTCTCACTGACAGCCTCTCCATCTCAAGATACATGACACTAGGTGACTTTATGTGCTGACATCTTTTTACTTACCATGCTTGATTTCCTTACTGAGTAGTATCATACCTGTTTCTAACTCTTTTTCTCCCCAGCACTGTGAGCTATACTTACCAGTAGTTTGTATTGAGAGATCAGAGAGAGTATAATTTGACATCTCTTTTTTCAAAGTCTTCCTAATGTGACACAGCAGTGGCTGGGTCTGCCTAAGAAATGGTTTTTAAAATACTATTCGTGCTAAAAATACTTTCACAGCTCTCTCCTTCACCCATTCCAGCTCACTACTTCAATCCAGGCAAATACTCAGTGAAAAGAACATAAGTTGAAACTCTTTTCAATTTAAATACCAGAAAAAAACTCCTTACAACTTAAATACCAGAAAATATTTTAGAACAAAACTTTCAGAGGAGTGCTGCTGCAGCACTACTGGAAAATCTAGCCAGGATTTCCTCCGTAAAATCGACCTCCCACTGCTCTCTGCATTCTATCCACAACATTTTGATTTCCTGTGTATGAATCATATTGCTACCAGCTTGTCAGTAATGCTGCCCCTAGCACTGGGGCCAGTGATTTTTAAACCTCTCTGAATACATTTGGCCAGAAAGAGATGGTAACTGAGGCCCGTGATGATTTCTTTAGTGCCTGAGATGTGCTTGACTACCATTTATTATGAGCTTGTATTGCCCTCTCTGTATTAAGAAACCAAGGGGAAGGATATTTATGTTTGCATCCTGAAAAATGGCAGGAAAACAAGGTACATCTGTCTGAAAAGGAAACGGTTTATAGATAGGTAGACAACAGACAGATAGATAACCTATCTGCCCAAAGAGATTTCCTTGTCCTTCATGGGAATATAGAAAGTAATTTTATTTATGTCAGATTAAAATTAAGGTAAAAGATCACAAATCAAATGCTATAGATGTTTTTTATTTGAATAGGTACAATTTAATATAAAGGATTATTAATTAATAATGGGGAAAAGAGAGTAGAAAGGTGGTTGTCAGGGACTGAGGGATGGGGGAAATGAGGGATTTTGGTCAAAGACACAAAATTTCACTTATAAGATTAATAAATTCAAATGCAATATTTAAAAACTGGGATATGTCTTTAGTACCCTTAAATGTTCGGAAATACCATTTCTATATCCCCAAAGTTCTTAAAACGAAATTATTTTATCATAAAAGTTACCTATAGAAACAGGGATATTTTTAGGGTCATCAATTCAGAAATGAATCTCAAAAAAAAAAATTGTTTCGAATGTCTACCTAATCTAGCATTTGTTTAGATCTGAACTGTCCAATGCAATAACCATTAGCTCCATGTGGCTATTTAAGTTTAAACTAACTGAGCTTAAGTAACATTAAATATTCAGTTTATCACTCACCCTGGCTACATTTTAAATACTCAACAGCCTCACGTGTTTGGTAGAACACAGATATAAAACATTTGTATCATCGCAGTAAGTTTTATTGGACCGCGGTGGTCTAGATATTCTACTTAGTGAAATTTCTTAAGGTTTTATCTTCTCCTCTCAAGTTTATTTCCAAAGCCCTTAGGTCACTTTTCTCAGTATGAGGTGTCTTTGCTGTCTCTCAGAAAACCTTATATTGGTAGACAGCAGCTGTAACAGTTCAGTTACTGGGCCTGAGCCACTACTTGAGTGTTCATTCGGGGCGTTGCACAATGCCAGAGCCCAAAGTGTGCTCTGCATTCCTCAGAGGCTTAGAATTGGCCTCGATTCAGCTGTCAATGAGGACTGTCCAAGACATTCTAGAAAACCATGCAGAGAAGGAAAGGCATAGGAAAGGAAGGATTAAGGGGTTGTTTACCAGCAACCCAGAGGGAAGTGAATTCATACAATTGTTTAAGAAAAGAATTATCTTTTTAATCAATCAAAAATAAGGAGGGATTTACAATGCTATGAAAGTATTTTTTTTAATTTAGGATGTCATTATACATACCTACTATATCTAAAATCCTGTGTAGTATTTTAGATTAAGGATTAGGAGGCAGGCTTCTTCTTCTGTTTTTTGTAATAGAGTTTTGTTTGCACACATCTCACAAAAAAATAAAAGATATTCATTGGGTTAAAAAAAAAAAAAGAATAGTTTTATGTCTCCACACAGGACAGCATAGAAATCTACAGTAATTGTAACAGATACATTGGTTAGGATCACCAGAGTAGGTTGGCTCAGAGAGCGACATAATCTTCTAAGAAACAAAGATAAAATTAAAGGTCTTCATTTAAAAACAATTTAACATTCCTTTCACAGTCTTTGTACTGAAATGTGAAGATAAATTATTCATATGGGTTTCGTCATGAATGTGTATGCATTCATATTACAGTTCCCTTTTCTTCCCATCCTACCGCAAAAGGTGCCACCTGACTGGGAGAGAGCATCCTTCCAACAAGCCAGTCAGGCCAGCCCCGATTTGAAGCCAAGTCCACAAAATGGCGCCACGTTCCCTTCCTCTGGTGTATACGGCCAGGGGTCGCTGATAGCTGATGAGGAGTCCCAGGAGTTTGATGACTTGATATTCGCGTTAAAAACTGGTACGTATGCACCCACGGCCCACATTAGAAGTAGGTGCTCTTGCCGTGCTACATACAGTTTATGTCTTCTTCCCATGAAGTTGCAGAAGTACAATCAGTCGCCCTTAGCACACCCTGATTCTCATGGCCCATTCCTAATCCCAGCCAAACTCTAGGATATTTTGTTCTTGGCACCAAATATAACACAACCTAAAAATAATTTACAATTTGCTTTTAATAAGAAGGCATAATCTAACCAAATGTAAATATCCCTGTCCTGGAATCTTGCTAGAACACTGAGATACTATTAAGACAAGTTGATTACAAGAGAGTTGGTAAGGATATCACTGAGGGAGTTTTGGCTCTGACCTGCCAAAGAGACCTTCAAAATGGAGTGTCTTTAAAGCAGAAATTTTGAAAGGCACCATAATGAACATTGTACAGTTTTATAATTTCCAAACTGCCATCACATACAGTATGTCACTGACTCTTCCTCTATATTTTAGTCTCACTCAACTTGTGACCAAAATGAGAGGAATACGGTCCTAAAGGCCCCAGGTCAGCAGCATATGATGCTGGAAATATGTTAAGGCACATAAAAGACCATGGAATCCCCTGATTGAAGGTGACATGTCCCCTGGGGGAAATAGTTAATGGATATCGTTCTTTCTAGTGTGTCTGAATGATATCTACATTCCTTGTATACAGTACATATTTTATTTGTCTGTAAATGCTGTTTTGAACATTAAAAGATAACCACAGCTTGAAGTCTGGTAAATTGATGCCTCCCAATTTGTTCTTTTTGCTTAAGATTGCTTTTGCTATACGGAGTCTTCTCTGGTTCCATATGAAGAGTAGAATTATTTTTCTAGATCAGTGAAAAATGATATTGGCATTTTAATAAGGATTGCATTGAATCTGTAGATCACTTTGGGTAGTATAAACATTTTAATAATGTTGATTCTGCTGACCCATGAACATGGTATGGTTTTCCATCTGTTTACGTCCTGTACTATTTCCTTCCTCAATGTTTCATAGTTCTCCCTGTACAGGTCTTTTAGCTCCTTAGTTAAATAAATATATTCCTAGGTATTTTATTTTTTGTTGTTGCTATTGTGAAGGATATCGAATCTCTGATTGGGTTCTCAGTTTGACTGTTGGCATATAGGAATGCTACTGATTTCTCTACGTTGATTTTGTAACCTGAAACTTTGCTGAATTTGTTTATCAATTCCAATAGTCTCATGGCAGAATGTGGAGTTCTACTTAGCCACAAAAAACAATGGTGATCTAGCACCTCTTGTATTATCCTGGATAGAGCTGGAGCCCATTCTACTGAGTGAAGTATCCCAACAATGGAAAAACAAGCACCACATGTACTCACCATCAAATTGATATTAACTGATCAAACTTATGTGCACATATAGTAGTAACATACATCAGGTGTTCAGCAGGTGGGAAGGGGGAGGAGGTGATGAGTGTATTCACACCTATTGGGTGTGGTGTGCACCATCTGGGGCCTGGACACACTTGAGGCTCTGACTCGGGTAGGGCAAAGGCAATATATGTAACCTAAACATTTGTACCCCTGTAGTATGCTGGAAAAAAAAGATAACCACAAAGTAATTTTACTTGTTTTGAAGTGAAATATGCAGTTTAAAATTTTTTTTCTCAGAAAGACATTGAATTGTCACTTCTATAAAAATTCCAGAGAACTTTTCATTTCTAGATATCTACACAAGCAAGAAGATATTGGCCAGGCGCAGTGACTCACACCTGTAATCCTAGCACTCTGGGAGGCAAAGGTGGGCAGATCGCTCAAGGTCAGGAGTTCGAAATCAGCGTGAGCAAGAGCAAGACCCCATCTCTACTAAAAAAAAAAAATAGAAAGAAATTAATTGGCCAACTTAAAATATATAGAAAAAAAATTAGTCGGGCATGGTGGCACATGCCTGTAGCCCCAGCTACTTGGGAGGCTGAGGCAGAAAGATCGCTTTAGTACAGGAGTTTCAGGTTGCTGTGAGCTAGGCTGACACCACGGCACTCTAGCCCAGGCAACGGAGTGAGACTCTGTCTCATAAAAAAAAAAAAGAAGAAGAAGAAGAAGATATGTCCATGCCCAAATGAAGTTATTGAAATATTTATTCAAAAGTGCATTTTACTATATCACAGTTTGTCTGGCTATAAAGTATATTGCTTTGCTAAAACAATTTTTAATCATTATAAAGTAAAAATTTTATATTGTATCTTAAAGATTACTGCTAAATTCCTAGGAATAAAGTCACACTTTGATATTTCATGTTTTACCACTTGCCCAAAATCACATTGTGAAGAAATGGTGGTGGCATGAAGCAACTCAAGGCCTCCTTGCTCCTGAGTTTGTGCTCTCAACCAATATGCCATATGGCCTTGCAAATACTTTATTAGGAATGGCAAATCTACTGAAATAAATATGAACTCAACCTTACGTTCAGAATAGTGCTTAGTGTTTAATAAACCTTTGGTAGATATTGTTGGATAATGAATGAATGCATGGATGGATGAAAACAATGAAACTTGAGTTTGCTGGGAGGAATAGACGTTCACACAAATATGACATAAGAATAAAATAAGTAATAGAAAGAGTTATAATAAATTACTCAGGAGATCAAGGAGGGAAAAAACCTCTCTGCTGATTTTTGAAGAATGTGTAGGTTTTAAACAGGTAAAGAATGGAGGAAAGGGCATTACAGACTGAGGGAATAGAATTAGCCCAAGTCTGGAGGCTTAGCAGTGTATGGCCTGTTTGGGGAGAACAAGCACCGCAGTCTTCCTGGGGCAGTGGGGGGAAGGCCTGACAGGTAGTTTACCTGCATTGCATCGTCAGTAATCGGTGGTTCCCAACCGGGTTGCAGCGAATGCCGTCCTTAAGCTAGTCATAGTCAGTCCTCAAGGGAAGGATCCCCTGACCAAATATATCTGGAAAATTACAGCAATTCACTATTTACATTAGCACTTTAGCAGCTCTAAAAAGTCATAGAGCAAGGAAATCCACTTTATTTAATTTAACCTACTGTTCCCGGAACAGCGATGGATGCATTTTGGGAGAGCAGAATATGTACTGATATTCTGCATAATATTAAAATGTTGTTTGGATGCCATGATGAGGAGTGGGATTTTTTATATAGTGAGCCATGGAAGTTTCTGAAGAGAGGATATGTCCCATGAATTTTTGAGGCAAAACAATTTTTATGAAAGTATGAAGAAGAAATATAGAGGCAAGATCAGAAAGGCTGGGAGGTTATTACAGTGGTTTAAAAGAATGAGGGTAAGGCCTCAAATGTGGAGAGTGGAAATAAAGATGAGAAGGTACCCACAGGAGCAATGCTGAGGAAGAACCGAGAGGACAATCAGCAAAAGCTCCTGCTGCTCACCGGGATGACAGAAGGAAGGAACAATGTATAGAGTATTTGTTTGTTTGTTTGTTTGTTTGCAGGGGATATTGATGAGTTCCGATTTGGACATTAGGCCTGGTAACTCCTAAATATTCAGGTTTGAATCTTAGGTGCAGGACCAAGGTGGGAGGTGATGATTTGAAATGCAGCAGCACAAAGATTATAGTTGAAGCTATGGGGATGAATATGTTTGATCTGGGAAAATGAAGGAAGAGAGAAGAAAAGAAGGGAAAAGAGAGAAGGAAGAGGGTGAGAAGAGGGAAGGAAGGGAAGGGAAACAAGAACATCCTAGATAATGCCTATGTTTCAAGAGGGTGTTAGAAGAGGGTCCCACAGAGAAACAGTAGCAAGGTCAGAAAGAAAACCAGAGGGTGGAGAGTTTCAGGAGGGAGGGAAGGATCAGTTGCATAAAACACTCCTTAGAGCCAGGGCTGAAAAGGGACTTTCAGATTGCAAATAATTCTCAGGGTATTTTATGTTCTCAGTACTAGTATCATCAGTTGTTGATGTTGTAGCACTGGAAATATAAAATGAATTGTTGGGGCATAATTCAATTAGATTTGTATACTATATATATATAACAACTATTAAATGCATTTAGTTCAGGAATGTGTGGAATGCCTTGCTTACTTATAGATTTAGTTTAGCATTCTTTAGAGTTCCCTAAACTCATTAGGAAATAAATACTTTAAAAGACCAAAATAACAATCTCTAATCTCTGGCTCCCTATATTTTTAGAAAAAGTACTATAATAATCAAGCACCACCCCCTGGACATTTTCCATCATAGAATGTGGTCAAATAAAGGAGCAGTCCACATGCCATTCCATCCATAGCACTTACAGTTCACCCATAGGCCAGATGCAGCCCAGGTAAGGCACTTTGTTTGACTCAGATAACTTTTTTACATTTTGGAGCCAATATTGAAAATTTAGAGATATTCCATAAAAATCTAGAATTTCTAGAAAAATCTAACAGAAAAGCACTTGAAGTCTAGCACAGCTGTGTTTGATTGGAGCAGAGTCCTGGCTGCCCTTTGGACATGAGTTGTTTGGTTTTTCCAGTTCCCTGACTAGACCTATGTCCCTGGTTCATGCGAGCCTCCCTGGCCTCTGGGCCATTTGAGCTTGCAAAAGCCTTGATCTGCCTCAGAGCCACCTTCACTATGGGCCTCTCCAAGTCGAGTACTGGGAACAGTGGGTCTTCCAAGTCCTTTGTATTTGAACCCCTAAACAACTTTCAAAAGCTATGTAGTAGCCCATTGCATATATTAAAATGAACATCTCAAGTTTTTCACAATAAGTTTAAATAGTATAAACAGTGTCATTTTCACTATATTATAGATTTTTATATTTTTAAATAAAAATTTTACATTCTTTTAAACTAATCCTTAAACTAAACTCAATACTGTAGCAATTTGATGCCCACTGTCATTTGAAAAATATATGAACAGGCTTTTCTTTTACAGTTGGAAATTTTACATTGTTCTCTTTTCTCCTTGAACTTATATTTCCATTCTACTTTCTCCACAGAATTTTATCCTCCTGTAAAATATTTTATGCTTGAAATTCATTTAATCTTTACCCTC